TCCGCGTTATGCTCCCGTTTTCCAACAGAGTTTGTTTGGTAGTCCTAGACGAAGCCCAGTACATTACGAAAGAGACGCAGGGAGGACGGGGAGGATGCGCTGGACGTCGACGATCAGCACCACAGCGCGCGAGCTACTACCGAGAAACGGCGGCACCGATACACAAGCGGTGACTTTCTGAACTGTGCCACCCTCTCCTGTCCGATGATCGGTTTCACAGCAACATGCACCACGGCGATGGAGAGACTCATCGGAAAGAATAATATCATAGCCGAAGTTGCTCTTTCGACGCTTGTGCGATTGCGGCACATGATCTGGCCGTGTCGCGTGCGCCTCAGTTGCGATCCATCCAAGTGGACGCCGGCTCCGGTGGAGGAGGAATTGCGGGAATGGGAAGGGTGCGGTACGGACATGGGAAATGCCATCAGCCAGAATATTGTGAGAGACTACGCCGCAGTGGTAGTTTCCCTGACGTGTTTCTTGGCACACATATTCACTATTTTCATTCTAGGTAGAAAAAAATATCACACGGGTTCCCGAGAGGTGAGGTGGAGCCTCACAAGCATAGAGACTACTTTTTTAAAATTGGAAAAAGTTTAGTAGTTGTCAAAGCAAGGTCATCACTTCTCCGCTGTGTGTCGCTATTGGCAATCCCACGCATTCCGCCGCCGGGTGGATCTTTCCCTCTCAACACTTATGAGCGTTTCCCTCCCACAGCAGGTCAGCCAGATTATTTTGCTACAAATGGATAGCCATGGGCTCGTCGACTGGAAACCTTGCAAACTAGATGTGCGGCGGGAAATCCGCGAAACGATAGCCGCTGAGGGACTGCCCTTGCCGGCGGAGCCTTTCAAGGGCCTCGCAGTGACGTCTAGCAGAAAAAACATTTGGTGGCTAATCTGGTGCAGCAGTGGGAGAAGACGACGAGCGAGCTCACGACCACCGTGAACGCCACGCCGCGGTTTGCGTGGCTTCAGTCGACGGTGAAACAAGGGGGAGTGAGCGTAGACATGTGGGCGCCCGACCGAATCGCAAGCAGGCCAGCGACTCTTCTAGGCGGCGTCGCCGTGTACTCGTACAGTGAGCAAAATCTGACGGAGGTCGTCGAGGATTTCCGGAAAACCCAGTATGGCGTATTGTGCACGGTGTGAATGGGTCAAGAAGGAATGGAATGGCCGAAGGCGAGTGCCGTTCTGTTCTTAGATCCTAGAGAAGACGGCTCTACGCAAATGCAATGCCTCGGGCGTGTAACAAGACCTGACACAAGTGACGCTGTCGCGTACTACTGCCAACCGAAGCGGGAGTCCAGCACGTGGTCGCGCCGGATCATGGACGCCGTGAAGGGGTATGAACGCACCAACAGGATTCAGCCGAATTTCCGCCGTCTCTCAGAAGCGACAGCGAGAGACTCGTTTCCGAATGAGTGAAGGAGTGCACATTTCAAGCAGCAACGGCCGTGATTTTTTCGATCAAGAAACAGAGAAAAGGCGAACGCCAAGATTTTTTCGATCAAGGGAACACCTCAACCATGATTCTTTCTTTTCACTTAAGGTCTCACAAAAATCTGATGGTCATTGAACCCAAGAATCCCTCAACCTCACGTCAAACAAAACAAAACTAGTTGGGTCAGAGACAAAGACATAGCTCCATAGTAGAGCAACCTTTGGTCTTTTTCGTCCATAGCGGCAGCCTTATCGTCCAGCGAGGCACCTTTGGGGAAACCATCTCTCCCGCGTGCTGCTTGGTGACGAAATCATGACGAAATGAGGTGTCCCGTAGAGAATGGAATTGTAGGGGGGAGAGTCGCTCCTGTACGAGAGCGCGCATTACAGGAGAGAGCGCCTTTGTTTGGATCACCGTCAAGGACGTTCCAGCATGGACCGAAAGTGGTCGCTTGCCGATATTTTCTGCATGAGAATCGTATCCGAGAGCAGGAACATGCGAAGAAACCTCAGTAGTTCTATAGCGTCCTTTAGGAACATTCGACAAGCGCGCAGCGGTGACGTAACTGGGTCATAGCATCCCCGTTCCTCACGCATAACAACATGTCTCCTCCATCGCTAGCAGGCAAGGGCACTTGCGAGGGAATTAGGAGCCCTGATGTGGTCTTCGCGCCGCACGATGCAACGGCACTGGGCCTGCCGTCGAGAGCGGCTTCGTGCGAGCGACGCTCGTGGGCCTTCGTGGAGTCCCACCTTGACGGAGTGCGCATCCACGTTTCGGCGCTTTGTGCGCTAATTTACGCGGGGATGGTAGCCACTCGCGTCGCCGAGGATTTTTCGGAGGAACTACGCAACCGCTCAGGCGTGCAGACGGCAATCGTCGGTGGCGCGCCCACCAATACCGATTATGAAAAAAGCTTTCCCCTCTTCGGGCTAGGTACAATTCATCCTGAGATCGCGCTCCCTATTGTCGTTACTCTCGTTCTAAGAATCTCGTCTCGCCTCCCTCGTGTGGGTGCGCCGGTGGGTCAATACGACCTCTCCCGCAGGACGGCGGCTCGTGGTCGGGCTCTCGCAAGACACTTCGAAGTGGAACCCGGAAACACCTGTGCAGCGCCTGGGCCTCGCCATCCCGCACCTCACCAGCGAAAAGAAGAAGTGGACCGTGAGCGGATTTTTTTGGAGTCTCGCTTTTTGTTTCGGTTTGACGAACTTGGACGAGACGAATCCGGCCAATCGCATACAGCTCTTGTGTATTTTGATGTGGTCGTACCTTGTGTTTCGAACTGCATCGCAAAAGAAGATACCGTCCTGCAGATGGAAGGACATAGAGCAGCCTTTTCTGAAACAAGATGAGTTCGACCGCGCCGCTCGTGCTGTGAGCATCAGCTGTGGGGACCCGAAGCAGAAGACGGAGACACTCGAAAGTGACTGGCTTCTCCGGCATTTCAACCGCGGAACGGAGAGGGGAGGGCGTGCAAACCACCTAGCGTCGCGCGAGACTGGGCTCTCCGCGACACCCATCGCGTGGATCTCCGTGATCGAAATGAATCAGCTGCACAACGTAGACCCGACTCACGATCCGGTGGCACAGGCTCTCGCGGGAGTATGTCTTTCGACGGTGAGAGCAATGGTGTTCGAACGCGCAGCTGATCGCCACCGTATTGCTGCGTTCGTCTTGTTATGCGAATACTTTTTTTTCAGAATCTTGCGCGAATAGGTTCAGCGAATAGGTTCAGGGAATGGGTTGAGCGAATACGATCGGCCGCCTTCCCTTCTAATGATGCGTTTTTACATGTCCGTGAACATGACCAGACAGTATCCGAACGCAGTCGCATGTGCGATAGCCCTGTCCAGGGACGAAGACGTGACTACGGCCGTCGTGCAGGAAGGGGACCTCCCCGGACGAAGCGAGACGCTTCAAGAGTCAGATGAGGCGCTCTCCAAGAGCATCCAGGCAGAACTACGCAGCACGGGCCTCGACGTCGGGTTCGTGGTATGCGATGGCGTGACGTCAAGCAATCTAGGTTTCCAGTTTGAGACGTATTTGGCAGCGGCCCGATGGAAAGCCTGCCCCGTTCTCTCTCGGCGTCCGACCAGCGAGGGCAAATCCAAGTCAGAAGTGACCGGATCAATCGTAGAGCTTTTGGCCCGATCCAACGTCCTGGACACGTACCCCGGCGGGAGCGCGCGCGGGAAGTTTTTCCGCGCCGTCGAGGCCTTGGCACCCACCGCCAGGCGACTTCGTACGGCTCTCGTGGCAGCGCCTTCCGCGACCGCGCCAACTTCTTTCCATTACACCGCTAAGGATGCAGCTGCTCTGGACCTGGTTTTCGACTGCCTCGTCCAGATGCGCGGTTGCAACGGGCACGGCCTCAGCGGGTTGCAGCTTGCCGAGTGGGGCGCGCTTTCCGCCAAAGAACAAAGAGCGCTCGGTACTGGCTTCATGGTGAAGAGCGTCGTCTTTCCGGGCATTCGTGTCTTTCTCCGACTTTGTTCCTGCGCCCCGGATTGCCCGCCGGCCGACAGACAACCCGACGGACCCAATCCCAGGGTTCTGAGTAAAGCTTGCGGCCTCAACATTTACAGAACAGCGCTGGGCGGTGTCGTAGATGAAACCCTCCTCGTTCGCGGGAATGAGGACGAACCAGCTGCGGCAAAGGAAGGGCGATGCTCCATCCGGGGACGTGGCGGAGAAGGTGGAATATCCTTCACGGTTCCACCTCTAGATAGGGTGGGGCTACAAGACAACTTCTGCAAGCTCGTAGAGTGTCTCCAGTCGTTTTGCGGGGGGAATATGCCAAAGATGCGACATGGTCTCCGCGCGCACACTCTGGAGGCCTCGGAGAAGTGGGCGCGCATCCGTAAAAACGCACTGTGCACCGCCGGGAAACTCCGGGATCTTCTGAAGAAAATGAAAAAGAGGATGTTCCATCGCAAAGTGAATTCCGTGAGATACTCGCAGGCCAAACGAGTAGGACGAGAAGGCGCGCACGCTTCCAAATCACTCTCGTCTAGGAAAAAGTGTAATGATCTCTTGCAATAGTCGTTTTTTCGCATTTCGGCGTTCGCCTGAAAATCGTGCGTGTGTTCCTGCCAGACAAAAGTTCCTCGTTTTTTTTGCGTCTTGCCCAGAGGCTGATCCACGGGGGAATCATCTGGATAGCCTCTCTTTTTAGGCGCTAATGGAGCTCGTCGCTATTGTACAGTCGTTCGAATGTCGTTGGCTGCACAGGAAACCCCTAGCGTGCCCTTCCTTCTTCTTTTTAGCACGCCTCACAGAACATCGAGAATTCAAGAGTCTTCTTCGCCTCCTAGCAAATTTGTTCGGAATTTCGTAGTACCTACTTCATCCGCAAGAACGACATCCAAAAGTGGGCGACTCCTTCGAATTCGATCACGAAGCGTTCGGACACACTCCGGGTACGGTATTCGTGCCAGCGACGGCGTGGCGAGCGGCGCAGCGAAGTGAGCATGTACCGTTGACAACTACTTCGCGGCTCGTTGACAATTTCCCCCAGATAAGCAACAAACAGGCCGAGAAAAAAAGTTACTACTTCAAGGCAGTGACGAGAAAGGCTGGGAGTCAAGGGGAGCACGAAATCCAAATGGGCGCTGTGAACAGCGAACACGTCGAAGAAAGCATCACCACGAAGGGGGTTGCCGCGTGGAACGCTTTGGAAAAAGCGGGCTTCGCGTCATCCCTCTTTCGGGTCGCCTATGGCCAAAACGGGTACGAGTTACCTCTTATCAGGTTTTTAGCGTTCCCAGCATATTTTCTGCTCATCATTTCGCGGCTACGGGCGATCTCGCCGATGAGACTACTTCTGGTTCGTCACTCAATGACCACTGATCGCCCCACTTCGCTAACTTCTACTGATCTTCCGTTTCGGTCGCCATTCATCAGGCTCACGACGAAGCAGACGCAGAAAACTGGAACATCGCCGCTCGAGATGGTGTTCGACCCAGAACTACAGAAGAACAATATGCCGACCGTGGAGCGCAAGGGCCGTACGAGCGTGGCCCACGTCGCCAGGTGCTTCGACGCGACGGGGCGCCTTGTGAAGGACGTCTCATACCGGGGAAACCCCACCGCTGTCGGCGGCGCCTACCCCTGTCGCTTTCGTCTCGGCCGCTGGGTTCCCACGGAAACGGTGCCAGCCCCTGGGGAGATGTGGGCAGCCTCGCATGCATTTGCGCCGGATCTCAGTCGCACTACGAACCCTCACCGCCCCGACGGGAAGGCGCTGCTCCTCGGCCCACTGGTTGCCTTCACGCATTGCGGTCGTG